GTAATTTAGATAGATAGTGATGTTTCCTCTACTACCCAACTTCTCTTCTGCTAAAAGAAAGCTAAACCTTTTAATCATTGAACTGCTGTGATGTACAAACAGGTGGTAAATAAAAGGATGGTTTGAGGTGCTGATTCTTCTGAAAAAATCTTCTGCCTGTGCACTGCCAAAGCCAGGATATGGATCCTGGGCCTAATTCTGGCCTCCTTCTGCTGTTTTGTGCTGCTCCATCTCCAGCAGAATAAAGGAGCCAGAGGCTGGTTTTACTGACTATCTAGAAACTCCACTTGTGGCATAGGGCCAGCACAACAGCTTTATGCCACTCGACTGCAAAGGTGGCATAAAGCCCCCTTCATCCCCAGTTCAGAATATCTACCAGTATCTCCACAGCAGGTCAACCTAGTCAGAGAGTTAATCAAGCCTGGCCTGCAAAAACAAAAACTCACTCTTTGTAAAAATGCAATGTAAAAATATCAATCCTACATTTATTTAAGAGAAAAGGAATAACACTTTTGTTGGGAACCCTCTTTTGACATGTTTTATTTTTTAACTTAAACATCTTTCAGCTCAAATGAATAATAAACCCTGATTTTATAGCAAAACTAGGGGCTTAGTAAATAAAAACAAATTACAACCAAAGCAAATAGAGATGGAACTGATTGAAAGACTACATTTTGAATTTAAAATGTTTCTAGTATAAAATAAAATGATGTTTGAACCAGGCAGGAAAAAAATTGACTCAAGGAGAGTAGTAAATATTCACATTCATTGGGACCCAGCAATACTGTGATTATACACACACAACTTTCATTGATTTCTTCTTGGTTCCAATTCAAGTCAATGTCTGTTAAATGTGTAAGGACTGCAGGCATGACCCCCTTTATGCTATTAATAGAATCACATTGTGGGGTCCATTAAGGCGGATTTGACAAAGTGTGCCTCACAAGCATTCTAATTAGCAATGTAAAATTCTAGCAAGGCTCCCACAGAATCCCATTGGTTGTCTTCACTACAGGGGAAAAAAAACCCTCTTTAAGAGATATTAAAAGAGTAGTTAATGGAGACTGGCCTCACTTGTCCTTGCAATGATTTTTCACAGCCACACACCCACATTGTTTTTGGCAGAACCATTCTGGTGTGCTCTTGAGACATGTATCCTGTTAAACTCTGTAGTATTTCTGGAAGCAAGTGCTCCTGGGAAACTTGAATATAGGTTGATTTGTTCTGGGGTGATCGATTGGAAGAACCGGCTAAGTTGTAAAACACCTGGAGCAACTATTGGGTTGCAGATGCATGGTGTTGTATCTGCATTGCAAGTACCTAGGGTAAAGCCGACAGACCCTGATCGAACCTGGGGCCTCTGGCGCTTAAAGCATGAGCCAATAGCCAACTGGTTGTTAGCTAAGGCTGTAGAGTAAACTCAATCTCTCTCTCTAATTGGTCTTGGTGCCACTAGATGGGACAGAACACCACACCCAGGAGGTGGTGTGGGTTACATACTTTCTCTAGCTAAGGAAGCGCATCCCGAGCTTCAGAGACTTCCCAGTTGAAATCCCGGACGAGCCCCCACTCGTAACGTTGACAGACCCCGGTCATCAGCAGGCAGGATCAAACTTGGGGCCTCTGGAGCTTAAAGCATGAGTCTCTACCACATGAGCTAAAAGACAACTGGCTGTTAGTTATGGCTGTAGAGCAGATTCAATCTCGCTAATTGGTCTCGGTGCTTCTAGATGGGACAGAACACCACACCCAGGAGGTGTGTGGGTTACACTTGCACAATGGGGTCCTGGCCTCTAGGTGCTACCAAAAGACAATAAGTAATAATTAGCATGTTCTTTTCATTGGAATCATGTTACGGGTTATGCAGTATCATAACATGCTCTGTTTAACAGTTTGAGATGGGACTAAGAACCGCTAGCCTTGTGAATCAATTTTCAAAGCAATTCTTAGAAATCATTCATACTTATGGAAATGTCCCCCAAAATATTCTGCTAAGTCTGTGGTTTAGTATTAAAATATGTAGGGGATTCAAGTTTAGTACATGGATCTTTTTTGCCTAGGCCAGTAGAGCCCTGACACATTGCAGTAAAGATGATTTTAAATTTTGGGAAGAGGTGGCCTCTCACAGTGGATGAAATTCAATCCAGCATAAGGTCCTCTGCACAACATAAACTCTGCAGTTGGGCTGTATAAATGGGCTGTCCTGTGGCCTAACATACAGCCTTCTGCATCTTGAGTGGGTTTCTCCAATGAATTCAAATATGCCAGCAGTGAGGCTAGTTCCAAATGGTTCAGCACAAATGGGATTTTTGGGGCTCAAGCCATGCCACCTGTGGCTATATAATCTAGGGTTGTCAATCCTCCCCAGAATGTGCAGTCACCATTCTAGTCCATACACTGGGATATCAGCAATGGAGGAGCTATGTTGTAGCCTGGAGCCCACTGCATGTTGGGGACCGAATACCATACTTTCTGCTCCCACTTAGTTCCCCAAACAGTTACACAGACTTCTTGTGGGGAGGTGTGAATTCCATCCCATATGGGCTCTTCATGCCAGTCGATTCAGAGTTGTGTTACCTGCTGTGCAGAAAACAAGCACTGTACCCTTCTGCTTAGACTGTAAATGCCATGGGACAAATTTTACTCTCAAACACGTATGTGTAACCCTGATGAAGCAATGGGGTTTTAGATTCTCTAAATCACATTTTTGTACTTTATATTAACATATTGTCCCATCCATTCTGTCTTCTCCATAAAGCCATGCCTTTTGCTACTAACAACAAGTATTTATCCCACTCCAGCATTCAGCTGTGTCACAAATGCTAACTTATATTTTCTGAAGAAATGTGGTTTCATGAGAGTAAATTGGAATTATTATCTAAGGAAAGGCTTAAAGGGAAAAGCCAAGGTCTAACAAATGAGAGGAAGAGGTAGTACTTAGAAGCCCAACCAAACACGCTGTGGAGCAAGGTTAGAGTTGGTAAAGGAAACCCGCCTCTGCAAAACCGCAGAAGACAGAGATGGTTTCCATTCTTATGAAGTTAAATATGATGAATAATTACATGTTTAATTTTTCACAATACACATAACTAGCAGATCTAACACAATTACTGAAGTATCATCACATTAATATTGCATAATTAAAAGGAAAATTGACATCCCAAAAATACAGTTAAAAATTGATGTATTACTTCATTTTGAACTCTGACTACATATGGCACTCCTACTGTTAAAAGCTCAGGAACAGTTGTCTGTTTTCAGTCTGTTAAAGAATATTAATCTGAAAGAACTGGTATTGACCTATTTTAGAAAAAAATAAGATAATGAATAGTAAAGAAAATGAATGTCAAGAAAATTCTCTCTTGAAACAGGTCATTATTCAACTTTGATTGATTTTCCTGGTTAGACATTATGAAATTAATAGATGTTTCAATGTTATCCAAGTATTCAAAATAATGTATTTTAATGATGCATGATTATATTCTTGATGAATATACTTGCTAATACTCTGAAAATGCAGAACTTTATTGCAAACACCACAAATATTAACTGTAGTAAGGTATACGTTTTGTTATAATTTATAAATATTGGCATCCTTTCAATTTCTATACCTCCACCCCTTCACATAACTTTATTAGCATTCCATTTAAGACTCAGTGTCCAAGGATTTGTAATTCACCTACAAAAATTCATTCTGAAGTGAAGCTTCAGATTCACTGTTGCTGTTCAGAAGAGACTGAACCCTCAACAACCACTGGATTCTGCACTCTCCATTTTTCAAGAGATGCCTAGAACAGATAACTTAAAAAAAACCCAAGAAGAATTTGTATTATTTTAGTTTTCCTGACAGTGTTTTAGCAGAATCCAGGCACACATTCATAAAGGACCTTAGGACATGTAGACCAGCATTGAGAAACAAAAAGATCTTTAACTTTTTCTTGTAGCCCCAAATCATGTTTACACTGTTCCATCACCGCTTTTTTTAAATCCTTGTTGTTTAGGAGCCATAACCATAACCAAAGGAATAAAAGCCAAAGTCCTTGCTTTGGTGAGTTTATGCACCATGGACCCAATCCTGCTTGCACTGAAATCACTGTCAAAACTCCCATTAACTTCAGTGGGAGCAAGAAGAGCCAGTGTAATTTTGCAAACTGCCACCATCACAAATTGCAGTTACCGACAAGGGTGGGTGTGCTGTTTTACTGCCTCTGCCTTTCACCATCCTCTAGTCCAGCAGGGGTAGCAAGTTGTGACAGATGGGTGGGGGACACTTCCAAGTCTCCTTTAGCAGTGCCATACCTCAGCCCAGATGGGGAAGCGCTGCTGTGTCTAGGCACTGGGATGCACCAGGGCCGGCTCCAGGCACCAGCTCAACAAGCAGGTGCTTGGGGCGGCCAAGGGAGAGGGGCGGCACCTGCGGCAATTCGGGGGCGGCAGGTCCCTCAAGGAGCAAAGGACCTGCCGCTGAACTGCTGCCGCCCATCGCGGCTTTTTATTTATTTTTTTTCCCCAATTGCCGCCGATGGCGATTGCGGCTTTTGTTTTGTTTTGCTTGGGGCGGCAGAAATGCTGGAGCCGGCCCTGGGAGGCACCACGCCTCTAAGAACTCAGCCCTGGGAAGCGAGCGCTGAGCGGCACCGTCCTGCAGAGGGGGGGACCCCGCTGACCCCCACCCCCAATTTTGCTGCAGCCCCTCTGCAGACAGCTCGCCCTGCCCTGGTAACTGTCACCCGAGTCCCTAGCCCTCGCCAGGGCAGAGGCTTCACTGGATATTACTGAGCATGCTCAGTTCCAGCCAAGCGGCAACTTCTGACGGGCATGACAGCAACAGACACGGGCCTGCGGCGGGTACCACTGAGCGCTGCTCGCCGGACGGGCTAGGATGGGAAGTCGCCGTGGGGGCGGGGCCCGCTGAAGAGCCCTGCGTGGGGGCGGGGCTGGGCGGAGCTCTCCCTTTGTGGGCGGGGCCGCGGCTGCCGTTGGGCCGGCTGGGAGCGGGAGTTTTGAACGCTGGTGCGGGCGGCTCGAGATGCAGCGCTGCCGGGGACCCGGGGCCACCTGCCCGGAGCAGGAGGAGCCGGTGAGCAGCTCCCCGCGCGTTCTTCCGCGAGGCTGCCCCGTGCTTGGAGCCTGCCGAGCCGGGTCCCGGGCCGCTTCCCTCCGGCAAGTGCGTGAGGAGCGAGCCGGCACGCCCCGGCCAGCACCCGGCGGGGGAGTGAGGCAGGGCCGCAGCTGGTGCGGAGCGTGCGCTTACGAACTGAGCATGCTCAGTAACGTCAGCTGAAGCCGCCGCCCTGACTGCCCTCGTTGGGGATTGCAGCTGCTCAGAGGGGACCAGTCTGTGCGGGGGCAGCCTGGCTGCGAGGGGGCTGAGGGGCAGTCAGGGCCGGGGTAGGGGCGCTGTCAGATGGAGTCCGAGGGGAGCCCCCGCCGGGCTAGGGAGGGTCCTGGGGGAGTTACCCGGCCGCCCTGAGCCTTCTACAGGGGGTGCAAAAAATAGGGTGTGGGGGGCAGCGGGGCTTTCCCCCCCACCTCCCCTCCCCGGCAGGACGGTGCCGCTCAGCTCCCACTTCCCAGGGCTGTGTTCTTAGAGGCGTAATGCCTCCCAGTGCCTGACACAGCCTGCGTCTGAGGAGGTGGGTATTCACCCAGGAAAGCTTATGCTCCAATACGTCTCATAAGGTGCTACAGGATTCTTTGCTGCTTTATACACAGCAGCGCTTTCCTTCTGGTATGATGCATTGAGCTGCAAAAGCAGACTTGATTCAGAGAAATATTTCACATGCCACCCCCTTCCAAAATTATTATAATTTTACTTATTTTAATGTTTTAAAATAATTCCTTAGCCATTTATATGTCTGCATAAAGCCTTATAGCCGTTTACAAATCTGTCTCAGCTGCTCTTTTCACTGCCTGAATTGGACTACCTTTTTCTTGTAATCCACTGTAAATCTAGTTTTGCTCCTTTAAATTATTTACTTTTAAAAATGCTATCTTGCTTACTCTTAGCACTTAGAATCATAGATAGCAAAATTTTGACAAGTGTACACCCAACCATCACAATTTATAACCCCTCAGCTGGATTAAAGCATAAGCTAACTAAACTACAGTTTAGGACCTCGCAAAATGAGGGGCCTCTAAAAAAGAAAAAACTGACTCCATTTCAAATTTTATCAAAATCAGATGATAAATAAAGGAGATACGGGGAAAAAAGAGTTTCTCTAAAGATAGACACTTTTGTTCAAATATGATAAAAATATAAACATCTGGCTACACAAATACTCTTACCTTACCCTTACCCTTCACTAATTGTTCATTATTGACAGGTGGGAGGCCAGGGCTGAGAAAAGACCATAATTGCACTTGTAAAATTTGTATTCCTACAAGTAAGTCTGCTATCAGTCTCCTAAGGCAGCATTTTGTTGGCCAGCTGCTACTGGTAAAATTCTGACCGTGCTTTCATAACTTATTTAAATAAATAATCTCACTGCCGATAGAATCGGGGGAAAATGTGAGGTTGGAGACGGCAGTGTCGTGAAGCAATCCTGCCAAGCTCATACTTGTATGGGACTCGTCCTAGGAGTGGGTTCTAGGCCACGAAAGCTTATGCTCAAATAAATTTGTTAGTCTCTAAGGTGCCACAAGGACTCCTCGTTTTTGCTGACTAACACGGCTACCGCTCTGAAACCTGTCATGTATAGCGTCCTCCTTGGCTGGTAATAGCCGGAAGGGGGCTATTTTGTTTACGGTCCAGCATGCTCAGTCGTATAGTGCCTTTGCTCCTGTTTTTCTTCATTTTCTTAAGTGTTAGTGTGTTCTTTCTTCTTTTGATCTGTACATACATACCATTGTGTATTTTAGTGCACACGCCGCTTTCTGCTTCATGCGCTATCCATGCTTCACATGACTGAGTTTGCAGATGATTGTCTTATGGACTTGGGTCGAGTGGATCTTGAGGAGGATACATTTGTGTTGGCTTCCCCCCATCAGTTTCAGGAACCTTAACAGTAAATATCAGAGAGTGCTGATGAAAGGATAAATAGAGGGTTTTGAGAGAAGTGAAGGAAGATGTGCATATATATAAAAATATTCTGAGTACTTGGTGAGCAAGTAATTTCAAACTACGTGCATATATGATTTATAGGCTATTAAAGCCTATAATATTCATTATATTTGCTTGAATATAAGCTAGTTTTTTTCACTTTCTCGATGCCATTTCTAGAGATTACCAGTCTTTTTTCTGATAAATTCTTTTTCTCTTTCACGCATATAGCTTGTTGTCACTCTGTGTCCGAGGTGTTTACTCGAGATTAATTAGTGGTCCTGGGGGAGACTGAGGATAGAAAAGCGAACGTGAAGAGAGATGTCTGCTTAGAAAATGCTGCAAGAAAATCTATCTGCCCTAAGCATTCTGTGCATTGAAACTCCGTAGGTTATCATTTGAGGACATCATCAATGACTTTGCTCTCCAAAAATCATGAAAGAAAATGTTTTAAATTTCAATGTTAAAATTAATGTGATGTGCAGACAGACATACTGCAGGTTGTACTGATTCCATTAAGTAAGCTCGTCTGTGTAACTGTAACTGCTTTTGTGTTGCTGTAGATATAAAGTTTTCATATCTACTACTTAAGAAATCATAGACAAAAATGTGTTAATTTGAAACAATTTTATAATGCAAACAGGCATATTGCAAGACATGTTTTAGATTTTTATTCTATTTTTGCAACTTTGCTGTTATATATATGCAAATATAAAGCTTTCGTGTTTATATATTCAATTTCCTTTCTGTGAAAATAATAAATTAATTTTTGTTTTAATGGTATGGGGCCTCTTACACTTGACATAGCTTAGGCCTCAGAATGTCATAATCCAGCCCTGCCTGGACCAGAGGACAGGAAAGGTGAGAGGTAGCACATTGTGACAAGGCTGCAAAAAAGAACACCAATCAATGTCAGTAACTGCTGCTGGTAGCAAATTGTGATGGTAGCAGTTTGTAACAACCCCTGTGCAGCCTGCTGAACGGAGTTGGTCTGATCATAGGGTCCTGCCCTGGTCCTATCCCCTTTCTGCCCACGTAACTTGTCTGTTTGGCGGGAGGCCACAGACCTGCGATTGTCTTGCACTCAGTCTGTGCCACCTTAGGACGGAAGAATCCCATGCACTGTTACAGACTAGGGACCGAATGGCTAGGAAGCAGTTCTGCAGAAAAGGACCTAGGGGTTACAGTGGACGAGAAGCTGGATATGAGTCAACAGTGTGCCCTTGTTGCCAAGAAGGCTAACGGCATTTTGGGCTGTATAAGTAGGGGCATTGCCAGCAGATCAAGGGACGTGATCGTTCCCCTCTATTCGACATTGGTGAGGCCTCATCTGGAGTACTGTGTCCAGTTTTGGGCCCCACACTACAAGAAGGATGTGGAAAAATTGGAAAGAGTCCAGCAGAGGGCAACAAAACTGATTGGGGGCTGGAGCACATGACTTATGAGGAGAGGCTGAGGGAACTGAGATTGTTTAGTCTGCAGAAGAGAAGAATGAGGGGGGATTTGATAGCTGCTTTCAACTACCTGAAAGGGGATTCCAAAGAGGATGGATCTAGACTGTTCTCAGTGGTACTTGATGACAGAAGAAGGAGTAATGGTCTCAAGTTGCAGTTGGGGAGGTTTAGGTTGGATATTAGGAAAAACTTTTTCACTAGGAGGGTGGTGAAGCACTGGAATGGGTTACCTAGGGAGGTGGTGGAATCTCCTTCCTTAGAGGTTTTTAAGGTCAGGTTTGACAAAGCCCTGGCTGGGATGATTTAGTTGGGAATTGGTCCTGCTTTGAGCAGGGGGTTGTACTAGATGACCTCCTGGGGTCCCTTTCAACCCTGATATTCTATGATTAATAATAGGAGAAAGAACTGTGTCACTGGCTTAACTCTTTCCATCTGAGAACTATGGCCCTGTCTCATGAAAAATAAAATGGGTGGGTCTTGTAACATGGACCTTATCCCCAACGATCTACAACATACTGTTAACCAAACATGAGTAAATGACGTTAGCCAGCTTACTGTCCCCTGAGCCATCTAGCCCCATACCAAGCTATGATAGTTGCCCTTGTTGACAGTCTCCATAGTGAGACCAATGTTTGCGCAATGAGACAGGACAGCGGTTAGGCCACTTGTGTGCTAAGACCACAGCCTATCATGCTGACCAATGTTGTCTCATTGTTCCTTGTGGCCCCTCTTAATCTATCTGTATCCATCTGTTGTCTATTGTATTATACTTAGCTTGTAGTTTGCAGTTTTGTAGATGTATTGGTCCCAGGATTACCCACTTCATTTGAAAAGGTTTCTTGCAACATGTGTTAATCCCTTATGCTTAACAATTTGTCCTACTTTGTATTTAGCTGTGGTGCTCTGGTTACCTTTCCCAGACCTCAAGAAGAGATCTCTGAAGCTCAACAGCTTGTCTCTTCCTCCAACAGCAGTTGGTCTTAATAGAAAATATTACCTCACCCACCTTGTCTCTCATTTAGATTGTAAGCTCTTTGGGGCAGAGGATTCCTTTGTGTGGAATCCTGTTCAGCAGTTAGTACATTGGGATCCTGGTCCATGACTAGGGCTCCTAAATAATAATAGTAGTAACAAACACCATCATTCTCAGACATTTTCATTCCATGACAAGGATGAAACATACTGATGGAATGATGCGGGACCCCTTTCTCATGTAGGGACTTTTGTGCTTTACCTGTGTTGATGGATGCGTATATGACTTTGGTTTCTCATGCTGTCAGTCTGCCATGCTAAAATTTAAATCCACTTAAAATCAAGATAACTTCAAATTAGCAGTGTTTTAAAAGGAATTAATTGATACTTATGACAAAAAATAACTTATTCATGACAATTTACTTAATCTATTCAGCCATATTTGAATTGCCTGAAGTCAAATTCAGTTGCTTAATATTTACTTGGATAGGAGGGTGCAGGTCCTATTTGTTGTCCTATGTATTAATTCATAATCTTAAAATCATTCTCATCAGGATTCAGAATTCAACACTTATTCACGTGATCAATGTCATTGAAATCAGCGGGGGCAAC